TCAGTTGCCTTTACTTGAGCATCAGTTGCCTTTACTTGAGCATCAGTTTTTTGTGTTGGTTCAACTGGGGCATCAGTTGGTTGTACAGGAGCATCAGTAGGTTGAATCGGAGCATCAGTTTGCATCACGGCTGTGGTTGGTTTAACTGGGGCATCAGTTGGTTCTACAGGCATGTCAGTAAGCTGCACTGGAGAATCGGTTGGCTCAACAGGAGCATCGGTTGCCTTTATTGGAGCATCAGTTTTTTGTGTTGGTTCAACTGGTGCATCAGTTGGTTGTACAGGAGCATCAGTAGGTTGAATTGGAGCATCAGTTTGCTTAACTGCTGTTGTTTGTTTAACTGGTGCATGAGTTGGTTCAACTGGTGCATCAGTCTGTATATCTGGGGCATTAGTTCGTTCTACAGGCTGCACTGGAGCATCGGTTGGCTTAACAGGAGCATCAGTTGCCTTTACTGGAGTGTCAGTTTTTTGTGCTGGTTCAACTGGGGCATCAGTTGGTTGTACAGGAGCATCAGTAGGTTGAATCGGAGCATCAGTTTGCTTTACTGCTGTGGTTAGTTTAACTGGCGCATCAGTTGGTTCTACAGGCGTGTCTGTAAGCTGCACTGGAGCATCGGTTGGCTCAACAGGAGCATCAGTTGCCTTTACAGGAGCATCAGTATTTTGTGTTGGTTGAATTGGAGCATCAGTTTCCTTTACTGCTGTTGTTTGTTTAACTGGTGCATGAGTTGGTTCAACTGGTGCATCAGTCTGTATATCTGGGGCATCAGTTGGTTCCACAGGGGTGTCAGTAGGCTGCACTGGAGCATTAGTTGGCACAACGAGAGCATCAGTTGCCTTTACTGGAGCATCAGTTTTTTGTGTTGGTTCAACTGGGGCATCAGTTGGTTGTACAGGAGCATCAGTAGGTTGAATTGGAGCATCAGTTTTCTTTATTGCTGTGGTTGGTTTAACTGGCGCATCAGTTGGTTCTACAGGCGTGTCTGTAGGCTGCACTGGAGAATCGGTTAGCTCAACAGGAGCATCGGTTGCCTGTACAGGAGCATCAGTTTTNTCAGTAGGTTGAATCGGAGCATCAGTTTGCTTTACCTCTGTGGTTGGTTTAACTGGTGCATCAGTAAGTTCAACTGGAGCTTCAGTCTGCATAACTGGGGCATCAGTTTGTTGAACTGGGGTATCTGTTGCTTCAACTGGGGTGTCAGTCGGCTGAACTGGAGCATCAGTTGGCTCAACAGGAGCATCAGTTGCCTTTACTGGAGCATCAGTTTTTTGTGTTGGTTCAACTGGGGCATCAGTTGGTTGTACAGGAGCATCAGTAGGTTGAATCGGAGCATCAGTTTGCTTAACTGCTGTCGTTTGTTTTACTGGTGCATCAGTTGGTTCTACAGGCGTGTCTGTAGGCTGTACTGGAGAAACGGTTAGCTCAACAGGAGCATCGGTTGCCTGTACAGGAGCATCAGTTTTTTGTGTTGGTTCAACTGGGGCATGAGTTGGTTGTACAGGAGCATCAGTAGGTTGAATTGGAGCATCAGTTTGCTTAACTGCTGTTGTTTGTTTTACTGGTGCATCAGTTGGTTCAACTGGTGCATCAGTCTGTATATCTGGGGCATCAGTTGGTTCTCCAGGGGTGTCAGTAGGCTGCAGTGGAGCATCAGTTGGCACAACGGGAACATCAGTTACCTTTACTGGAGCATCAGTTTTTTGTGTTGGTTCAACTTGGGCATCAGTTGGTTGTACAGGAGCATCAGTAGGTTGAATTGGAGCATCAGTTTGCTTGATTGCTGTGGTTGGTTTAACTGGCGCATTAGTTGGTTTCACAGGGATGTCAGTAGGCTGCACTGGAACATCGGTTGGTTTAATAGAAGCATCAGTTTGCTTAACTGCTGTGGTTGGTTTAACTTGTGCATCGGTTGGTTTCATTGTTGTAGAAGTGGGCCTAATTGGAGGCTCAGTGGGGCGTTTCAAATTTTCTGGCAAGTCCGTTCTCACTATCTGTGGTGTATCAGCATCTAAGGAAAACAAGAAACAATATGTAGGAACGGTTAAAATATGAAATGGACTGTAATAACATTGGGATAAAAAATTTTTTCCTAAAACAATATTCTGAAAACTACATGTTTGTGATACTTGTGAAACAAGCTTCATGTGTGGAAATAAATTTTCGAATGTAATTCGTATTCTGTGAAATAAAGAATTATTATTGTTAGATATCAAACAATACTTTATTTTATTTAAAAGTCCCTGCAGGTATATTCCGTGAGTCATGTACATTACAAATGTACATAAGAATTGTGTTTAGATCATGTTAAAATCCCGTTTTGGGGTAACGAGATAGTAACAATTGTTATTTACCTGAGTTTTATCTTTTTTCAGAGTGAAATAACTGGTGTTGGATCATTTACACTCACAACTAACTGAGATTACATGGAAAGGGACATCTATTAGGAGGTTATAAAAATAAGGCATAGACATAGGTTTCTTTAAAAAGGATCACTTGCAAATAAGCTTATACTAGTACAGTGGACTGCACGCTGCTATAATGAACATGACAGGGTCCACACTAAATGTTTGGTTCAGGGGTCGTTCGGGATAGCGAAATTTACTGACAAATGTTTCGTTGCCAAGTTGAAAAACACCCTCTCTTGTCTAACTGAAGTGCACCCTCTTGTGATACTATGGTTCGCTGTTTTTGTGATGTCTTACCGTTGCAGTCACAATAAGGTTTCTAAGAATGTATCTGTTAATTATTTTTGTCTCTTATTAAATCTTAAGTTACAAAATTGATTTCAAGTTTATACTTAAAAGTTGTGAGGGTACTGCCCAGGATCGATCTCTGATGCATGCTGTGACAACTCTTGGTGGCTTACGTTTCAGTGGCGCCCTCTTTAGACTAATGTTAGTGCAATGCTACAGTGCGCATGGGGTTTTCTTCTGCACCCGATCATGCGGATTCGCAAAACCAGTGTTGGTAGATTAACCGGGCATGCCCTGGCCGTTACTAGAAGACAACTTTGAACAAGTGCGGACCAATGTACCCAGTTTCTCGGCTAGTTAATTACAATTAACTTGTTAACAACTAGTGCCTTTCCCTTTTAATCCTTGGGGAAATAATGCCCACTTGTCACTTTCCAACATAAAAAACCAGACCGTTTCAAGTTGATGTTCAGGAATTACAAACGGCAACTGTATAGTGTTCGGTAGGTTTTGTGCACAAAATACTGGGAGCCAAGGAGGATGTTCAGTACAGGCGAATATTTGGTATAGTGGCATTCCACTTTACCTCAAACATATCCAAACTCAGTTAGGTGGCATGTGGGATTGGGCAAGGGAAGGAACCTTCAGACCTGGTTTACATATTGTAGGCATATGAATGGGCATGAAGAAAAAACCTGAAAATAATTTGTGATGAAATTTATCACAGGGAGACTATTGCGAGTGCAGAGCGCAAAGCCCTTACTGCGGGGGTCCGGGGTCTACATATACTTAAGGGCCCTAGGAAAATTTTGGATTGAACATGTAGGTACCCTGTGGTGCAAGGACATTTCTCATTATTTTTTAAATTATAAATTTAAACACTTAATTTCTTTTATTTATCGGAATCGAACCTGAAATGGCTGTTTAAATATGGATGTTAATTTGATTTCATCTTCTTTCTTTTTGCACCTAGGGATTCCAGTGCTTTCTGCCGAGCCCTCTTCCTATCACAGAAGTGTTTGCTTTATTTATCGTACTTAGCTCCCGGAAATACCGTACTTGATACGAATATAACACCACTCACACCATGCTTCTCTTGGATTGAAAAGCTTGCAAAAGAAGTCACCCACCACGTGCTCATCTCCCATTTTAGCCAGTAACAATGTGTCGCACCATGACCAATGCCACTTGTTTTTTACTGATTTGTCAATCTCTTTCCGATCAGCAGCTCCACACTCAACAAACTTCTTTCCTTGGGCCATGAGGTCAATTTTTTCCCGGCTGCATGTGAACGTGTATTCATGTACGTACACACGTACTTGTACCAATTTCCAAAAGCCAGTTCACACCATGCAGCAGCACTGCCATGAATTTACGTCTCTACAAAATAAAGGACCCCTTGGGAGTTATGCTCATGTGTATGATTAGGAGAATGACCGATCATGTGAGAGGAATTAACTAATAACAGGTAAGAATCTGATTTTTACGGGAGTTGGATTTTCATGCGACACCGGGCATTCATGCTATAGTACATTTCGAAGGGTATTGCTTATACTGTCCTGAAACGATGCGTGAATCGAACTGTTTCACAGACAAATTTCACTGGGAATTAGGGAAATTTTGAGAATCACGTAGTCAACCAACATTAACTCCCCTTACAACTTTACCCCTCCCCCCCAAATTTTATTTCAATTTTTAACTTAACTTGAAGACCACAAATTTGAAGGCAAAAAACCGGAATTCCGGTTAAACCGGAAAGATTCCCATGCCTAATATTGATTCAAAAGTGATTGACACTTTGGACAACATCATTTTCTTGGAAAGCATGTACTACATCCAAGAATAACTCTTTCCGTCTACATGTATACTTGAAACACTAATTAACCCTCATTTAGTTTTACAGCACAAATATGCACAAGTGCCCAAGGTCACTCTCTTGCACATTGGTGCAGTGCACAACACGACACAGCTGTGCTTCTTTGAGGTGTTTACCAAGTGACCCAAAGAGTGACTTCAGCATAAGAGGGTTAAAAAGATACAATTTTTCCAAAACAGCATTTTTTTCAGTGCTCATACTCAAGATGTACTGCTGCTGCAATGCTTTTCAACATTTGAGAAAAGCAGTGAGCCTTTAAATCATAGCTGCAAAGTTATTATTAGGAAGGTTGTTTGATTTAAATCAAATAATTTAAATCACTGATTTTCAATCGTTAAAAATCAAATCAGATTAAAAGAAACCTTCAATTCTTTGGGGTATTTGAAAGGAAGAAATAGCTGAATTCAATTCACATGTACCGATGCCTTTAAAACATTTCCACACAACCAGAATTGGATCATTTTTTGTTTCTCTCTTTACACTTATTCGATATTTACATGTGTACCTGACATGTACATGTACACCACTCCATTTTGTATGACTGCAGAGTACATGTACATACATGAATGTATTGGGCAATTCCACGACATACATACGTAAGACTCAGATGCCAAAAATTCAGAAGGATATTTGGTCTGAACAACTTATATTTCAAACAAAACATGAGTTTAAGTTTTAAGAATCAACAAAAATTTTTTAAGGTGGCCATTTTGACTTTCAACATGACCGCCAAAGTATGCATAATAAATTGATGGTAAAAAGAGTGCATCGTCATATGCTTCCTGGATCTCCACTGTACCAGTGCTCTAAAAGTAATCTTTAACATGGATGGATTACATGTACCAGAAAAACACTTTTCCAGATTATGGGAAAAAATTGCTGGTTTCATCAATGAATTTTACAAAAATCATGACCAGTTTTACCACAATGAATGTAATGTCAGTTACCAAAAACATGGATTTTTAAATTTCATTCCACAAATGTGATCTAATGGTCTAATCATGACCAAATGTCTTCCTCTCCATACCAGAAATATACTCAACATAATGTTGAGCCAAAATGTGTTACATCAGTTACTGAGATGTTTCACTGTAGATACCATTGTGTAACGTCAGTTACCATGATGTAACGTCAGTTACATGTACCGGTACCAAGAAAATAATGATTAACTGGTCCCATTCATTCACCTGAGGGTTGCAGGCCAGTAGATACACGTAGGTCCAATATTGCCTATGCGGACGGAATCACAATATGTAGGCTTCAAATTCTATGCTGTTAGAGCGTTTCACAGCCTATAGACTGGGTGGTCTGTTAAGGAAGATGGAATCTACATGTATCAGCAAGAATGCCAGCTTGTATTTTTGAAGTATCAGACCAAACACATCTGCAGCATGGCACTCAATAAATAGCAGCGTTTCTTTTTTTCTTAATAGCTGTGGTCAAGTTTCTTAGGAAAACGGAATACATGCGCATGTACGCTGTTGTTTGTCATTTTATAAATCAGTTACTGTCGTTTACAATAAAATTGTCATAAAATAAAAAGAAAATGGACTAATGTTTCCTTTCATTTGCATATCTGAACTTGATGAACTAAGGTATGATTCCACATCAAACAAATCACTCCAACAAGTCAGGGACATGAGATATTATGCATGTTATCCTGTGGCAAATGTATAAGCATAATGTCAGTTAATGTCATGTCTCCACTAAAGTTTCCAAAGCATAAAAGGGAAATATTTAACTTGCTTATTATTTAGCACCTCTGTACCAAAGAACCTATCAAACATGTCATTGTACATGAGATACAGTGATACATTTGGGCAATTCCATGAAAGAGCAGACATGGCCCTAAAATTTCAACTCCATATTTGAAAGCGACTATCTATAAAATACTGATTCATATAGTTCAAAATTTGTGAAACAACTTAAAATAACTGAATTGTCGCAGAATTTTTGGAGAAATGGCCATTTAAAGTGGAGTGGTAACTTTGACCTGAAAGTTTTCTAAAAGTGGGAAGTTACTTTTTTGTTTTATTTTATGGAAATATAAAGGATGATCTAGTCAGTTGTACATTTTCTGTAATACATATGACATTAGAATTCAGATTTTAAAAAAGAAATGGCTTGACTTATTTCATTATCGAGGACGTCATGAGTAAATATTCAAAGCACTTTGTGGTAGTGTAACGTGAGTAACCAAAATATGACTTTTTCCCCCTACTGAATATGTTTCTTACTTTCAGTAATTGCCACTTTCAATTATCGTTCTCTTGGTGATCCCCAATGTAAAAACTGGGTTCTTTATGATGTGACTATTCACTGTTCAATGTGGTGGGGTGATGGAAGTTGTAACGTGAGTAACCATATAGGTGTAATGTGAGTAACCGGGAATAGCAAATTTCAGAGAGGATTATCTGAGGAGACTCTAGCAAATGGAAATGCTTTATAAGCAAATAACATGCAAATTTCCCATTTTTAAACAATGCACTGCATACTGTCTGAAATGAGCACATGGAAGAAAAGCACATACTGTTGACCATCTTTGGAAACTTGTGTTGTCTATTTTGGCAGATCTTGTGAGTACTTTATCCTTCCTTGTTTATCAAGGTTCTAAATCCCACAGACATGTACTGTACATGTATACAGTATGTTCCAGTGAAATTGCTTTTATACATAATTTATTACTGACCAAGTACATGCAGACAGATTTCTGTCTTGTATCTAATGTTTCTTTAAAGTAAATTTACATCAGATTATTTGCATGTAGGCCTATATTTGTGAGGTATGCAATATATCACTGGGGTGGGCAAGTTATACATGTACTTGGGCTTTATGTAGATGTTCAGTATCCGTTGTTTCATGTGTTAATGGCCTGGCAGAAATATAATCAACAAGGACTCGTTTCTTTGTCTTTTAATTACTGCTTTAGAGGGTGCAACATCCAGGGATGCTACATGGGGTGCTACATGTTTATCCAGGAGAAGTGGATGACCGTGGCGGTAAGAATGAATATCAAGAATCAGTGATGCATCCAGCTGGAAACTGCAACTGCAAGTGGCCATCACTTAGAGATAAGATCTTTTATCCTTGAGGAAAGCTGGTAACAAAACTTGATGCACCTGCAGTTGCAAACAACTGAGGCCACTTCAGGTTTTCTGTGAAGTTTTAATTTCATCATTCCCAGGACCTACGCTGAGCCAATGGTGCACAGTGCGGCAATTCAATCATTGCTCTCGCTCTGAGTGGCAGTGCGGTCAGTACAACTGTCCAGCTCTGTCCAGCTGTTACTAGTCACCGTACAGCTCGGTACAGCTCTTACCATGGCCCAATGAGTGTATCTCAGTTATGCAATGCGATAAACACCCATACCATACCCACTCCGCCTGAATCGTATTTCTGATGGTCCTGCCAAACTGCACTTAACTTCACCTCTCATACATGTATGTTACCGATTATCTTAAGCTATACCTTCTACAACCCACATTGAACTTTGATGAAGAAGAGTGAAAGCAATAAACCAACTGAACAGTGTGACTGGCACCCAAACCCCTTGTATCCCATTCACCTTTTAATAATTGTGGACCTCAGACATCACACCCTGTAGACACTTGTAAAAGTAAACGGTTCAACATATGATAAACGTAACCCTAGCAGTCAGCACCAGTCCTTTATTAATCACATGTCTTGAACTTCAGGACCAAAAGCCTTCTGGACAACTGATACAATGATCAATTTAATAAAAAAATGGATTTAAATTTTTAAAAAATTGATTTCTTGTCTTTTTTTTTTTAAATCATGATTTTTTAATCAACCCTGATTATCTGAGGACCCTGGCAGGTTATACAGCCAATTGGGCCTGAAAGCATTAGTGTGTCTAAGGTTGAGGAACAATGATGCTTTGCAATGATGCAGATACTTTTGGAAACATAAGTACTGTATGCTGTGTTCTGGGCATGAACTTGAAGATACCTGGTAATTATGAACCAGTAAATCAAACGTTGCAGACATTCGTCCCTTCAATAGCTTGAATAAATTATGGATTATTTCCTTGACAAAGCTCCAGCCAAACTACCCTTATACTGTATGTTGAAATGTTATCAAAGTATTCATAACATGACCAATTGAGTTGAAAGTGAAATAATGGTTCAAAAGTGATGGACACTTTTGTTAGACCTTTAAAGGCTTTTGTGGATTCAGCAGTTTAGCCACAAAGCCATCTTGCCTGGATAGGGCTTACTTCAAGGATGCCAAAGTCACATTTTTTAAGCAGCTTTGAACTCAAGTTAATGTGAATGTTATTGATCTCCCAGCCTTTTCCATGTTTATTTAGTACAGAAAAACAGGTTCAAGTAACAACAAAATATTTCTTTCATGTTACTTCTTGAAACATGCCTTCCAAAAGAATTCACATTTTCCTTTGACATTGCCCCTACTAACTGGGTATTGTGAACCTTAGAATGACACTTGAGATATAATGGAGAACAAAAATGGTTTATTTTTGCTTTTGTGCACATGGGGCTTGTTTTCATAGATATTGAAAATAATTGCATAAAGAAAAAGTTTTGAAAAAAAAAAGATTGTGAAGGAATTTCTCATAAATTCTCAGACCAAATTATTTGTGGGCTATAAGCTGGCTGCTTATCTTTTTAACACAACAGTCCGCAACCATTCAGGGATTGAGGGCTGGTAAGGTTAAATTAGCATGATTTTAGTTTTTTAGGGCCTTGTAACAAAGGCAAAGATAAACGACAGAGCCATCACTCCATCCCCCAGCCCATTTTTAAATTTCTGACCAATATACACATACTTCAAAAGTTCAACCATAAGGAGAACTACATGTACATGGAAATGAAATACATGTATGGGCAGATATATCACAATCCACTCACCAGTGCAGTTTGGTAAAATTCGTCCCGGGTTCCGGCAGAAACCCTCGTAAGAGAAACTCAACGGGATGCGGCGTTCCGGCTTGCAGGCCGAGCTCACCTTCTTCAGGTGGCAGAGGTTCCTGAATGTACGCTCCCTACAGCCCACAATGCCACAGACATAATGAAATCCCTCGCCCCTGCAGTGCGTTGGGCAATCAGCATCTAAAGAAAGATGTTCAAAAACAAAGTTAATGATTGACCACATTCTGACATTCCATTGCCAGTGGGCATTAACTGTGTCAGTTGGCATTGAAAGCATGTGTAAGGACTCCTGATGGATTTCAAAAAATTCTGGCCATTGAGAATTGTCTTACTGGTACCCTACCAGAATTATGAAAAATCAAATATACACCAAACATACTGCATTCAATCTTAACCTGCTAAAGAATCAGGTAAACGAGAGCAGAAGAAAGACCAAAATACATGTACATGTATCTTGAATAGGCCTAAGTACACACTACGCATACATGTATGTACCAGTTTTCGAGGGCATTATGGAAATACACAACGTGTTCACAGAAAGTCAGAGACACAAAACCTTCCACTGGTCTGAAAACTGCACTCTTCATGCATTTTAAATATCAACTTAAGTAGACCTGTTACATACATGTAGGCCTAATGATGTCATGCTTTGTTTATATACATGTACAAGAAAGTGTGTGCTTTGCTATGGCAGTGACGTGGGATGCATTCAACGGAACCCCTCTGGGACATTGTGATGTTACAATGTATGTTCTGGATCTGCTGCTATAAGTCGGTTTTTAAAAGGCTTACAATACACTTCATGCTGCAATCAGTACATGAGAAAGGCTCTTTTTTATGTTTATTAACACCATCAGCAGAAAAGGGCCAAAGTATTCACCGGGAGCCTTGTCGATGCCTCAAAGGCCAAATTTAACAAGGGAATAACTATCTCTGAGACACATACCTGTGCATGGCCCAACATGGCTGAAGTCAAATGTCTGATGCTTGTCCCGCCGACAAACCTCACGCACAAGGTCACACTTTGAAGGATAGGTGATACTGTTGCTCCCACACACTGTTCCAGTAAACATCAGATCATGGGGACACACTGCCTGAACTTGCTTGCAGACGTACCTGGTTCCGTCCACAACTCTGGTTTCTGCAGAGACAAGTGGGGCACGAATTGTCAATTGACAGTCAAGCCAACCTCTAACGTTGAACTTGAATCTTGCTGGTTTTGGCAGATGTTGGGCTTGGGATAACCATTTAAGAAAAATTCCATACTCATTGGCCACTGTTTTGACATTTTTTAATCCCATCAATTTTTAAAAAAAGCGGTGGCAAAATTTTGTTTGGGTAGGACTGTGCCTAATATCTGACTATATGATCGATTATTAAACATTTTTTTCTGAATTTCAATATTAAAATGTAAAATTCATGAAAAGAGATGAAAAAATTTCCTGTTTCAAATGAGAAAAATTGCACTGTTGAGGCTTGTTTAAAGCAGATTCACATGAAAAGCAACATAAAAATGTACACAATGTATCTCATGATTCAAAAGGTTAATCATTAAAATTTTGAAGGAATAAAAGTAAAAGTATTGTTCGTCTTTTAATTTAAATCTTGCCTGAAGATACCCCTAGAAGTGAGAAGCTATTATAGTCATTATATGTACAATTGTATGCATCATTGCAACAGATTCTGTATGTACATGGCTCATTCAATAATCTGCTGGTCGGTAGGACCGAACATTTGGATACTCAATCGAGTTGAAGGTAGAATATTCAAATAGTGAGTTTAGTGAATTATTCAAATTGACTCAGCCCTAATTTTTTTTTTTTGGTGTGGGGGGGGAAACGTACAAGGGGTTTGATAACTACACAAGGGAACAGGATTAAAAGGGGCCCTTCGCATTTCCTCCAGCATGTCCAGAAAAGGAAGTTTTTCCTTTAACTATTTTTCTCATCATGACAGCTAGCCTCCAACCTGTCTGTAGTTACCTGTGTTTGTCAAAGACTGCGGATTAGACTTCCATACAATTTTGAATGATTCATGCCTAGGTTAGTGTAACATTAATCTAAAAACAAACAATTGCCCTACAGACTACAGTACTTCTGGGAAAGTCAAAGTGCATGGCCCATGAGTATGGCATTCTTTCTTAATTGACAATTTCAAATGCAGTATGCACAAACGGTGGTCACGAGGGTGCAGAATTACCATTGCCGCCTTCAGAAATTTGTACTGAAGTTTAAAACGTTGCAGCCGAAATAATTGTGACCTTATCAAGTTATCTGCCTTTTTTTAAAGACACCCATAACGTTACGAACGCTACGTATGTTGCATGTTGTTTTGCTGCAGTCACCATGAAGTTACCGATACACGTCCAATCGATCGTTCACTATTCCCATCCGTATCGCTCTTACGGACGTTGTAACAAATCAACACTCACCCCACCACAGCAAAACAGTAAGACATCATGAATTTAACCCTTTTAAAAAACTGTTTGAGACGATCGGCAAGAACTTTGATCATGTTTTCTAGAGGCTTATTAACATGTACATGTTGGTAAGGTCACAGTCAAGATACACCAACATTTGGTGAGCCCTCTATTGATTTTGCTCGTTCTTGGAGAGGGACCTTTCCTTCAAAATAATTTAGAGGGATATTGTCTTCTTTTGCACGTATAGGCCATCACTTGTTTTCCTTCTCAAAAGTCAAAAGAGTGAAACTCACTCTCTAAAAGAGTGATTTTCCTATAAAAAACTTAGAGTGAAATTTTCACTCTGCCAGGAATAATTATAGACAACTCGAAAAGGAGTTTACCTTTATATGGCCCCCTTTTGAGTGATTGTAATCAATAGACGTGTTTACTCTTTTCAAAGTGGTTTCACTCTGTGGAGTTGATTTATATGAAATTCACTCTTTTCGAGAGCGAGGTTTTCACTTTTTCCCTTAATAGAGTAAAAAGGGGGGATTAAGGGTCCCCAAGAGTGCAAGCTGAAATTGTAGTCTTGAAAAGGATGGATCGGGAGAACCCTAGTTTGCAAGTCCCACGTTCTTCACCGAAGAACTTGTGCACCTCAGCCCCTTCCCCTTAATTAAAAGGCTGTGTACGCATAAGGAAATTTATTGATATATCGACAAGAATATAATATAAAAATCAGTGCTCTGAAATATGTGATTGCCGAGCTTTCGGTAACTGAGTACCCCGGCACATATTTCAGAGCACTGATTTGATATTATATTCTTGTCGATATTCTGACCACGGCGCTATGCAGCCCTTCCATATTTCTAGGAAATTTATTCATGTTGTTTTCGGTTGGGGGAGTATCGGATTCAGCCTTTGAACAGATACATATACTTCCCTCAACAGCAACACAAACATTTCCTCAACCTATGCACATTATTTTGTGCACTTCGGTTTCAAATGACCGCAAAGAGCAACAGAAAACCTGAAGGTTCTGTTCGTGAAAAAATAACAATAACAAAACCACTTGAGAGACATCGGGAGACGGTTGAGGAGGTGGGGTTCCACCCCAGCGCTTTGAGGATCACAGTAATACCAAAACACACTAGAGCACTTCAAATAAAATTGAACAAAACCATCCGATGTTATAGAACACAGAAAAGCAAAACTTACTTCCCGCCAGGGCTACCTTCTCTGCGATGAGAAGCAGCAGAAATGTAGCAACGGTAACCCTCATCCTGCAGTAAGAAAATTCAGCACATTAGGAAGGCCTATAAACAGGTAGAAAATCATGTCGAAAATCATGAAATATACTAGCAGAAATCAGTGAATACATACGTTATCGATTCTGGTCAGTCGAGAGTAAACAAAATTACATTCAAAGGGTTGTTTAAGTCGTTCTCATACATGAGGTTAATGTGAAACTTTCTGATTTTTTTATGAATTGCCATTCTGTCCACTGGCAGATCCGACCGCTCGGGCTGTAGTAGGCCTACTGCTGGATCAAAAGAGACACTAACAATGGATTTGTTGCAAGTTTCCGAACAGATTCCCAGTGCAGAAAGCACGTGCTACCAGACTGTTCTCAAGAAGGGGCACTTTTCCCTCAAAAAGTCAACATGCTGTGTTCACAGGAGGCATGTGAATGCACATGCACTACGATTTTTAAGAACTGAATACACGTAGGAAAGCTCTTGATAGGAAGTGCTTTGCGACAAAAAAAGTGTCTACGGAAGGACTCTAATGGAAAAACCACCACTTTCTTGCCACACCCAAGGAAAATATTGAAATTTTGTTTGAACTGTTGAAACTCATAATTATCGTGCATAAAACGTGTTGAACTGAATATCCACCCGAATGTTTCCTTTGTTTTTTTTTTCTAATTTTCGTTTCATTTCAATGGCACATACAGACTCATTGAGGATTCTCTTTTTAGTAAGAAAGAAAACACAAAAAATCGGATCATTCATTACTTTTTAGTCTTCTGAGAAAGAGCTATAACTCAAGTTACACAATATGTACAAAGACAGAACTAGGGGCTAGAGGCCACTCATCCCCCGTTAAGAGTCCCCGAATTCTCTTTTTCGAACGTTAATGAGAGAACCGTAGCGCGTACGCATCGCGAGGAAGGTAGACTACAGCCGGCCAATTACCGACTTGATTTCAAGTCTGGGGGTGGACAAAGTTACCAAGGTTTAAGTGTCTCCCTTTGCCCGATAACCCTCCAAGTCACTCTCTGTCCCTTCCTAGTAATCCCCTCCCCCTTAATTTGCCACGCAAAGTTGTTGTCTTTGTGTAAGTTTGATGAATTCAGTTCACATGAAATAGCCTTAAGATTTTGAGCTTCATCAAGTTGTCAAGGGGGGATGAGGTGTGTAACCAATCTAGCTGTGTTTCAGCAAGAAATATAATACGGCACTGCAACCTGTATTCTGCAGAATTCTTATATGCGTAGCCTCGTATGTTCACTCCCATGCCCTTGTGCACCACTAGTTTAGTTGAGAGCTAGAGCATGCGCACTTGATCACTTTACTGTGGATTTCGAGGCAGGCGACGTCGACGTCGGACATCGTTCCGACACTTCTCTCCACGGATGAAGACGAAATTTTTTTTTTTACAAAACAAACACAAATAAAGCTCACGGAGATAACCTAATGACTAAAACTTGATTAGACAACATTAAACCACCGTATTATATGAATCCAGTTAAAAAATAAACACGATCAAATTTGAAAGAAAATACCGTGGTCTTTCCCATTTTAAAAAAACTTCTCCACTTTACCTTAACAAACGAAATAAAGGGCCGTGTGTATCAAGATCTGATAAAAACATCGGTAGTACTTTCAAGTTATTGCGAATTGAATATCCTGCACAAGAATCATTTGCCAAAGTAGTGAGTGTAGGCCTATACGTGCGTTGATGGAGTACATGTACAGTATCGGTCGTCAGAGAGCCTAACTTGAAATTGATTCAACTAACAAAGGACAATTCGCAACAGCTTAAAAGGATCACTTTTTGTGTATCTCTGTACTCTGCTTCCATGTATGAAGACTTTTTAACATCTTTTTTGAGTTACGTGAACTGAACGGTGCACTTTTTCAAACATACAAAGTTGACTAAGCATTTCTGGACAAGTGAGGGCGCTTTTGCTCTGATGTAAATCCAGGAAGACGTGATTCAGGTTGCATGTTTTCATGTTCAAATTGCGAACCCCAAATTTACTCTCTGGGAACATTTCTGTGAAAAGGATTTTTGCTTGATTATTGCAATAAATTGCCGAAGAAAATGAAATCTGCGATAACCGTGGTTAAAAATTCAAGAACTTTTTTGTGCACAAATCAGTGCAACATTGGGATTCGTTGCCTTGGAATAAGTTGGATGACATCATAGTTCATAGTTTATGAATATGCAAATCATTAGCATAAAAACCAAAAAGCATCAAAATATGGGTTAAAATTGCATAACAAAATTAAAATTAGGTTAATTGAAACCCAAAGATGCAATTTCAAGGGTTTTTGGTAAAATTTATAAAATATTTCTATTTCCTGGTTCCTTTAACCATAACATGATAACTTTTTTCAAACACTCTTTATCAGTCGTTATCAAGATATGTAGCATGCGTGGAATAACTGCTGAACAATTCAAAGTTTAGAGTTTACAAAACCCAGCCCTTTTTTACGTGTTTGTAACGTACACAGACATCTTTTCTCCCAAATATCACTTATCATTAACAACAAACGCATCACAAATTTAAATTTGAAGCCTGAATACATCTCTCTGGTATAAATTCAGTAAACTTCTACACAAAGCGGAGGATCTCGGCAGGTAGATCTTGGTATAGTGGTTTGCTTGCTGACTTCGCCATTTTAACAAGCAACAGAAAGTGACTTGGAGTTTGCCGCATGCGCACAAACTAAGTGGAAGGGGTGGACATACGTCGGCGAGCAGAGGTACAGTAATGTTGCTGTGTGCTGACTATTTTCATTAACAGCAATGATGCCATTTCACCGCACGTGCTGCACGTAGCGCGCGAATCGTGGTCGAAAGTAGTTCTGGTTGGTAGCGTCTACGTATGCTTCAAACATGGAAGCTCCATGCTTCCATGTACAGGCTTCAAGCACCGTAATCATTATAACGTAAGCACCCAGGACTCGATCGCAATGGATACCCGCGTATTGGATAGCCCTTCTCGTCCAATCACTGCGTTTTAAACTGGCATATCGGAAAGGGAACGATGTCTGTCCAAATGCTGTGCATGAACAGTCGAAATAAATGATACGGAGTCTGGGTGATAAACTTGTGACGTTGCACGGGGGGCTACATTTCTCGGGGGGGGGATTTTACCTGGAGGGAAACACATTTTATACCTAGGTTAGTGTGTCCTAAGGGCACTTTTACAAAGGGTGCGATCAGGTAAATGTGCACTGTCAGGTAAAGGGGCATACTGTTGGTAGGTTGCTTCCCGGTCCAAGGTGGAGTCAAAATTTACGGAGTCCTCTTTTTTAAAATTCACTGGAATTCCGATGTAATGAAAAAAATTCAGCATTTTTTAAATTAGAAAATACATTTGTTACATTGTTAGAGCTGCAAAAATGGATTTTGCTTGACTGCTTTTTGAAGACGTGTTTGAAGCAATCCTACTGGTTAAACCATGGCACTCCATTTTATACCATGGATGGAGAAATAGATGGTTAACCGATCCAGAACTAGGAAAATAGTTGATCTATTAAGTCCAAAATAAAAGCATAACTTTTGTAAATAATTTTGCAGGATCTCCTGCACACAACAAGGTGAATTACAAGTCATGTACAGCCCGCATTTCACTGTAATTTTAAGATGATTTTCAGATGCAATCAGGCTGAATAATTTTTGCTACCTGGAACAGGAAAATGACGATTTGGCATACGGGATTACGAGTTGTGTGCGAGTTGGCACTTGAATAATAGCAGACGCTGTCTGTTTACTAATGGTTTATTCCACCGCTAAGTTGGCGGTTTTTCCTCCCTCCATGGTAATACATGATTTTCAAGAGATCATGGAAAAAGTCTTTGATCAGTTTCATTTGTTGGGAAGAAAATTCCAATTTTTGGAAATTTTAGTTGACCCCTTTATAGGTTCATTATTTCTTGTGAACGCTGTTTGCATGGAAATGCACTAGTAAAAATGCAGGTCACATTACCCAAAAACCTTAGCGCGTGATTATAAGTTACTGAAACTTCTGAAACTTGATTTGTTAAAGGAAACGATGCCCACGCAATTCGAAACAGGTTGCGCCATGTATACTTGAGATTTGATTTCGTAACACTTTAGCACAGACTAGTAACGTTTCAAGTGGCTCCTTACCCCCAGAACTGCGGGGTCCGGCGTCCGTTGGTTCGTGTGAGCGGGGCGGACGTCAGACCCCACAGTTAGGGGGGGGCACTCTTTAGTTTTGTATGTACAGTATTGTACGACAGTTCAGTGGTGAAATTTCTTATGTGGGTAGAAAATGCCAAACGTTTCCTGTGCACCACCTGAAAAAAGGTACGGTTGTTATTTCCGTAACAAGCATACATGGTTGCACACGTTGAGAAAATTGTTGTGTCAAATCGAACTGCGTATCGTGAAAAATCCCTTAAGTTCTGCAGAAATGGTTTATATCTTGCCAATGACATGAAAGAAAATGCAGCTGTTAATAAAGCAGACTTGACAAAGACGATGGAGAGAGAAATTTTTTCAGAAACAAATTAGCATTCTTTCCCTTCAATTACAATCATTTCTGCACAAGTCAAGCATAAGATTGACAGCCTAGCAAAGCTTTCGAAGACTTAAACATTTTAAGTGTATAAAAACCAGGAACGTTCAAAACTTTTTAGTGGCTGCTTGACGATATCATTTTATCAGTGAATGTCCATTATTAAGCTACAAAACGCATAATATAGATAACTGCAACTTAGCATAAGTCACTCCTTACTACTAATACTAGAGACGTAACTATTCGGCCATGTCGGAAAATTTGACTGAAACAAAGTGAAAGATAAAGCACATGAATTATTACAGTAGCCTAGGTGCCCTGGCATGCCTGGAATGCCTGAGTAATATTATTGGGCATATTGTGACAAAATAGGAATGAAAGTAATGGTCTTACAATACGAATATGGGCAACAGTTAGCCTAAATGACACGAATGACCACAATTACCGAATTTGTCTTTTTTCATCAGTCACAAGTTAAGGCAAATTGGAAGTCTGGTTGTAGCACGGAGCTAGGTCTGTGGGCGGTGTGGTAAAATTTGTTCCGTTATCTACTCAAAGTGTACGTGATGTAGGAATCTTCAAAATGCAGAAAACCGACAAATTCAGTGTTTCAGCAAGATACACCTTAGTAGCAGTTGCAGTTGGGACGTGGGAAAGCATTCGAATTCAAATCTACCACAAACTCACCTGAACCTTGCTCAGGATGCGCCTCCAGGAACTTGGGCAACAAGTAACAGAACCAGGGATGACACCGGGCCGTCCGTCGGGCAGGCACAAGTCCGCACCGGTGGAGAACTCCTGATTGTTTGACCTACAAGAGATGGTCCAAGGACTTTCGAACCCCAGGATGGTGAGATGGGATGCCAGAGATAAGCATCACAGGAACCGGTGGGGGAAAGGAATTATGTAACACGCCAATAAACAGACACAGCTGCTGTCCGAAGTTTAATGGGTGATTTTGCGGGTCTTTTTCCTTCTCGGATGGATAAATCATGCTTTACCCGCGTGCACACTTGTTAATTAGCGCCCTGGTAGTGGCTGTGCTATAACACCCCCCCAAGAATGTAAACCAAGAGCAGCAGACCTTACTTCTTAACAAGGAAGGATAATTGAAATTTCACACCTGATATGAGACGTTACACAAGCTTGAGAATGGCAGACTGATAAACGCACGTATAGACCATTATTAAACGCTGAAAAGAATGGCGACAAAATGTATCAACATCATATACTGTACATGTAATTTTTTGACTTTCTGCAAAACTTTGATACAAGAATAGAGACCTGTCCTTATGGTTTGACCTCGGCTTGACATCCCATCAGTTTCGTCGCGCATAGGTTATACGTTTCAAATATCAGCATATTTCATTATGAGAATAATGATCCTTCCTCCATCGTCACACCGGCTTTGCACTGTTATTGAACACATTACCAGGCCAGGTGACATTATCGATAAGGCATGGAATCTGAAAGAGTGGCACATTTTAGAGTCAAAAATTCTGGATCGAATGAAAAATTCAGATTAAATTAGTTTGTATTTCAAATAGAACCTCTTCTAGTGGAAACTCGCGTAAAATGTTGATCTGTTGGAGGAGGGAATAGACGAGCAGTAGGAGGGAAGCAATTTCACTCAGATGCGTGTGGTCCTTAGCTTCCGTTTGGAGCATAGAGCAAGTCCTTGCTCTCTGTTTGGAGGGATGAAATTTTCATTCGAATGGAGTGAATTTTCACTCCTTGGAATTTCGTGAAACTATGTAAGTAATTGCTATCACGTACACTTCAAAAGGCATTTCTTAATTGGAACTCGTTTTAATGTTACAAGATTTGACGCGTGAAATCGGGAAAATTGACTCGTGGAAAATTAACCTGTGATTTAATTTCCACATAATATTATCTGCGTTACACGATCCAGGGTAAATCGTTTTGAGCAATCTCTCGGTATAGCAAATCTCGCAATATTCCTCCCACTCAGCCACCTTCCTTTTTTGTTACGCAATCCTTCCATGGACTAGTCGCGTAACCAGGGCTAAACGTCTGGGGAACAACCCGGGGATGAAGATATTTTTTCAAGAGGTTACCACAGGAAAATTAGCTGCAGCTGCATAGCTATGTGAATTCCGCGGAGATTTTAAATTTTACAGATTTCAAATCCCCATCCGGGGATCCCGGGCATTCACCGGGGTTACCCCCCCCATAGTAGCGCCTTTGGGACGGACATGCGTAGCCTACTATTCCACACTTCCTCTCTGCCTATTTTCCTGCACCGCTGGAGGAAAGCCTCCTTATTTTTGTTCCATTTCAATCGGTTCGTGCTGTCCTCTCTCATTGTCCAAGTTATTTTAATTATATATTTCTAGTAATGACACCAAGGATTCCTCAAAAGCGCCCTGGGCAGTGTAGCTCGCAAGCCTGAAGAAACCTGCAGAGAGGAGACAGTGAGAAGCAGTTACAGCTTTTGAGGAATATTCTGGGTAAAACCCACGGAATCAGGTAGGGACTGAAAACCCAATCCACTTGTGGACCGGGTCGGGATTCGAACCTGGACCGCAGAGGTGGAGGGCGAGGAAAGAACCACTACGCCAACCTGACTCCCCTTCCATCCATCGCCTGCTTTTCCTGCCATTTCTCCTGGTGTAAAACTCTTGTGCTCCATTGAAGCTTGTGGGTCCTTTTATCATCATTTTACTTGGTTAGAATGGCCAGCCCACCTCCACTTCTCTCATGGACTCATACCCGTCATTTTTATTTAACTTCTGAGGTATCTGTTGTGTTCTGTCGTCCATGCTGTGATTTAGCACTTCACCCATGCGGAGCAAAAGGAACCAGGTTTTAATCCAAGCTCGGCGTCTTGGGGTCATTATACAAATTTGGGGCCCGACATGTGACATTTTTCCATCCCTATTACCCCTGACATGTATACCTTGACAAGGGATATATCACTGAAAAGGATTTCAAGCTATTTTCATTAATTTGGCAGGTAATTTGAAGTACTTATTAAATATTGGCAATTAAGCAGTGAGTTCTGCTCTAAACATTAAAAAATCATTTGCCAGACGTAAAACTTACTAAAAGGGACGGGGAAGAATTGGACCCCACATTTACAGAATGACTGCTCGACGAGTATAGAGATCTGGGAAACCGCGAGTAAGGCTTTTGATATTTTTTTCTCCCTAGATCATGTATGTCAAATGAACCCGAGGTTACATTCGCTTTAGAATCCCTTCCCCCACACACTCACACACTAAAAGCTGGACAAGCCGCTGCCTACAGCCAACTCGTCGATTGCCAGTTTGAAAATACAGCTTCCACCCACAATCCAAAGTGAGAGGTTTTAAGAGTTAAATGACCCGTTCTCCGAAGTTTCTTTGCTCCTGCATGGTTGAACGCCCGCTACACAGAGCTGTCTTGAGTTACTAGTGGGCCCATCCTAACCCCAGCTATTACACAACCTGCCTAGGCCTTGAACTGGCTGGTGGCTTACAGAAAGCGATAAGCCGCAGACATCAAGCTTATTCCTTCCCTAACAAGTGATAAACATCAAAGCCGCTTATCCTGTTTACAAGACGCACGACGCCTGTACCTTTAAGAATTACGACATCCAGCCTGATTCAACACCCGAAGTTGACTCATATTTTATAACTCCCTTTGTTGGGACTTTTGTTGCCCTTTCTTGGCACTGCTCTTGCGCCCCATTATCGAGCAGACACCCCGAACGCTTGAAAATTTGTTAAAATGCCTACAAATTGAAATATTTCTGCAGCATGGGGGATTCAGCTCTGGGAAGATTCTGAATTTGCTGATAAGGTTCAACCATGGAGGAAGGACCCTCCTTCCTCCACGGTTCAACGACACCGGATCCTACTTCGGCTCTTGTTCAGTTTTTACGATCGAAGAGCGAATCCCGAACCATATGGGACGTATAAGATTTATGGCGCCGGGGGGGGGGGCAGTATCGGACAGTGCAAAACTAGCGTGGGGAACACCCAGGATTGTGCACTGTTTCAAGTGGTAAAGCACCTCAACTGAGCCTAATTTGAAATTTAAAACAAGGGACATCCGAGGTGACACAAGTTTGAGGTGACCTTTCTTTAATAGTTTCCATCTCATTGTCAGGGACCGTGCAATGCTTTTCACGACCTCAGTTAATAGCGTTGATTTTAGAATCTGTCAACTCTTACAAAAGTAGGTTTCTCTAGGGGGTGTTCATAATTCATTTGTATGGTTCTCTTTTTTACCTCGAGGTAGTGTCGTTCGGTCGGGGAAAAAAGGTTAAAAAGAACTTGCTCGTCCCACCATGCCCACAAAAGTCTGAAGATTATCATATTGTTCTCCTTTTTTTCATTCTTAGTAAGGCAATTCGAGGCAGGGACGGCAGAATAAATTTATTGGTCGGAGCCTAAGAAATAAGAGTCCGTTGGAAATGAGGACCACAGGATTAACTACTCAAGAAGGTGAAGGGGAAAAGGGGACATTTAAAGTGCTTTGGCCGTGTATCTTAACTCCTATTTACAGCATTCGAAATAATCCTGGAAAAATAGCCTATGCAAAAAAAAGCCTGTTATTTTGACAGTGCAGCGTAACTGTATGTGCAGCATTATTGTTTAAAAAGAATATGAAAGAGGTCAGTTCTAAATTTAAGAAACTTGCGGGAATTACTGCATCGAACATCTTCCGGTTCCCAAGACCATATGATATGCAAATATATCATCTCAAGCTTACCAACATTTTTAACTTAAGTGTTGACTGAAAAAGGAGTTCCCGCGCCGGTTTGACACCCCTGGATGCGGTTTCTACCCACGCATAAAACTAGAAGTCGCTGGAAGGTAAAAAGATCTCCTACCATGGGTGATTTATGCAGTCGACCCTGTGTGGGTCGATGGTTCGGTAATTTCTCCTGGTAACAGGACCCGTGCATTTAACAGTTGCGTTCAGGCTATTTTGGTGCCCCTGGAAAAAGGAACTGTTATGCAAGGTGGAACGATTAAAGACATTCTGACACATTATGCAACTTCAGAAGGCTAGTAAACTTGCACTGTTAGGCACGTGCTACTTTCGCAACAATTGGCGCATACAGTACACGCTAGAGCCAGTTGTGTGCAAGGAAAAATTCTTAATCAAACCGCTACTCAAACTTTGTATTATTGCATGTGCTGCATTTTTTTTTGTAAAGCTGGAATTGCCTGTAAATGACACGGCTGACTTGTGAAATACATGTCGCTGAACTTACTGTGCCCCTATACCAAACCTCCGTCTTCAACTTCAAGCAGTGGCCCCTCTTACCTGATTTTATTCTCTCAAGCCTTGGTACAAGACTTTAGTCTTACCAAGATACTATCTTTAACCCACGTTTTCCGTAAACGTTTTTTTTCTGTTATATCTGTTCTATGTAGCCCTGTATTCTGTTTGGCTGTCCTATGGAAGACAGAGAGGTTATTCGACTCCTATTGCGCATGCCTTGCTGTTACGGCAGAACTGCAAGCACATGCGAGGCCGAGGGTCAAGTGTAAGAGTGTAAGAGAAGAAGGATGCTAGATTTTATGATTGCGCCCAATTGTTCAAGGCATCGGGTACGCACGGGGAAGACGTCAAAAGTTATCGTGTTTGACCAACATGCATTTATTTTTAACCATGCAAATCATCAGCTTTCGGTGATGGCGGGGAGCTAGGCCCCAAAACAAGAAAGAGATGTCAGCCTGCGTATATTGGGATGCTCCATTTTAATTATTACTTCTTCAAATACAACTTTGAAATGATATACTTTAATTTGAATTGTTTTGTTAACTTGAATCGTGCTCACCAGTTTGCAGCATTCAAGATAACGACCAGCAGTAACAGATTACAGTAATAAGATACGCTTGCCTTATGAAATAGAACCGATGTACGAAAAACTTAATAAAGTTTAACAAATAATTGGACTTAAACATACACAGTTCATTCTTGTCTGGTTTTAGCACCAAGTTGGTGTAATCACAGAGCAAGGAAACAGTGCGATCAATCTGACGTTTCCTCGGCTTATATTAGCAATCACCTATCCCGGAAACCTAGTTCTCAGTGTTCGTTCAAAGCGTGAGTATTTTTCTGTGTACGGCACACTTTGCGGAATTAGGGACATCCTTTTCATGTACATCAACCATTTAAGAGCTCACTGACCCCTTGTCAATTGGATCAAAAGTTAATTACGATGAATCCTTCATGAAACACATCAAATCAAGAAGAACCATACATTTACAGTTGCATGTCTTTATAGATGTTCAGTCACATCTTAACACTTTCGATGCTCTTTGGTCACAGGTGCCAACTTTTACTTTTAGGAACTAGGAGCAGTCGCACAGCACGGTAAATTTCTGGGGCAACCACGGGTGCAGACATTGTGCACACATTTTTTTTCAGGGGGCATCCAAAGCAGAGAACCTGATGCTTGTATTGGTTGTGTACACACGTACAAGTTGCAAATTGGGGGGGGGTACATGGGGCAAGGACCTCCATCCCCCCCCATGGGAACGGTGATTTAATAAGTGACAGCTATCTTCATTGGTTTATATTTTTAAGGTCAATTTTTTTCACGGGATAGCATGGTTGCAGTCCTTGTCAAACCTCACCAAATCGGGGTTACGGCACATGTCCAACCACAAGAAACATTCATTCTGGTAAGTACGATTGTTGGAGCCGCAGACGGGCGCATACTCCCTCTCTGGGCAACTCTTCTGGCACGGTTCTGAAGAGTGGAAGGGGAAAACAAATACTGACATCATTTCATTCAATGATTTTTTAATGCAATTTATATACATCGACAAATCAAAACGCATCTTTTTCTTCTTAGTGCCTAAGACACCCGTATTTTTTTTTGGAAGTTTATATATTGTGCATGTTATTGTATATATTGTATATATATATATATAACAATATTGTATATTGTTCATTTTACCACTTAGTTGTACTTAAGCACTGACAAAAAAAAACTAAAGGCAAAATTTACCCACGAAAATTCACAGTCTTATCAATCACAAGATAATCAAGGCTGATCTAGTCTCTTGCTAAGAGCATGGAGAGTAAATCAAATATGTTTGCAACACTGAACTGGGTGCCATTCTCCGAGAGAGTTAGATCTAAAACAGCTGTTCTTGTTTTTAAATGTCTATTAAACAAATTAGCTCCTATGTATATGATAAATCTGTTTATCCCACTCACAGAGATTCGTGAAACAAGATACTCAGTTACAAGGCACTTAAACTCCCTTTAGCCAAAAAAAGAATGCTACGCTCAAACTTTTGTGATGAAAGGTGCAAAAATATGGAACAATTTGCCAGAGCAACTCAGAAGTATAGACTCCTTAGGGACATTCAAATCAGAACTACGGGAGGCCATGACTAGTGCTGTTTAGTCCAAAAAGCTGATCTATGGAGTTGTTAACTTGGTTGCCAATGTTCATTGGAGCCGGATTGGGAATTTCCCAGTGTTCTTTTTTTTCCCATAGGTTTTTTTGTGTGGTTTTCGCCCATCCCATGGTCAGTGTTTAGTTAATGCCTGGATGATGTTCACATGTGTATGACGTTGTAGTTGTCTGTATTTGAAATTATTAATGTTTGTCGTATTTGTCAGCTTTACTTTTCATCATGAGTTTCTAGCTATTGTATTAATTTTATTCGCAGGGACCCAATGGAAACCAGTTTGAATCTGTTTGGGCAAACCCTGGGTAAAGAAACGGAATAAATAAAATAAATAAACGAGCCAAGTATTCCTTTTGTCGTCCGGCCCTTTATTTGTGATTGAAAGACTATAAAGCTCACCGACAATTTATCACGAAAGAGCCAGACTCTTTTCATTCAAAAAGTTATTCAACATTGACTAGCAAACCTGGCAAGTGTTTATCAGCACCAAGATTATAGTAAATAAATATTGACCAATGTACACAAAATGCAGGGAGCTCGTAATGCGCTAAAATCCCACGTCAAGCTCCATTCTTCGTAAATTGCAAACAACCTTTACGTTATTTTGCTTACAATGCCAATGCAAAAAGAACACACGAGGCCATTTCATGAAACAGTCTTAAGCTGAGAGATTTTGGCAGCACCCACGGCATAGCGAGGAGGCAGGCCTATATTGCCTGTTAACGACTTTCACGGATATTTGCTGAGCAAGTGAATTTGCTAAAATGATGTTGAGTACCCCTCTGCGACCTTTGTGTGGCAGTGCTTCAATGTTCCACCCACCGTTCAAGCAATGCCCTCGGTACAACATTCGCAGATGCTTTTCCCGTTCGTCGGCGGAGCGACAGGCGACCAGTCGAATGACGCAAAGAGACGGATAGGAGTTACCGTCAGTGCCGCACACGGGGTCGTTGATACCAGGACAGGCCGTGGGGCACACTGCACAATAAAATGGGAGAGAAACATCCCGTTAGGACAAACTAATATTTTATAACAGACCGTTCCGATTTTTTATACACAATGTGAAATGAATAGTGGCGTCATTTTGTGCTGAAAATTTGGGGGGTGGGGGTGATCTGCCCGGTCATGGAAATTTGAAAAGCGGGGGGGGGGGGTTGACACAAATATGCCATTATATATTTGAGTGATTTTTTAGTCTTTGAGAAGTTCGAAAAGTCTTCACAATCCCTTTATTTTTTTCTCACCACAAAAAGTGTGGGGGGATAATTTAATAGCCCATCCCCCACCTCAGAAAGTGTATGTGGGAGTGGTATATACAACCCCCTGGGATTTTGGCCCACGGAAATGAACATTTAATCCAGACTGACCATTTGGACCCCAACAAAGCGACCCAAAAATGGGTCCTCGTCCAATCTTTCCAAAGAATTATGACCAGCCCATACTTTGAGGCCTGGTGAGCACACCCATACACACCTAGGGCAGTAACCTCCCCGAAAGGACAGCGCACTTAATATACTCCGGTCGCTGGTTGCGCAAGCAATAAACAATATAATCGACTCAAACCACTCAAATCATACGACACTGGAAATGAAGTCAAGCCCGACCCACCCATCCACTTTTGTAATCTTAATGATCTGTACAGTGTAATTTTTGGGACTTTTCAATCATCACCCCGTCGGCGATACACTCTGAATCCCACTGTCAAGGAAGGACATGGAATACCTACAAATTTAAGAAAAATGATATTACTGCTGGAAGGCTCCACAACGCTTTTTTTGAAACTGTGATAAGCTCCTCAGCTGCTCAGCCAAATTTTCAGGATTCTCTCAAAATGCAATAAATTTCTGGTCACGCCCAATCTACTGTTTCACAGCTGTAGCCCAAAAGAAGTCACAGCTGATATGAAATGTTTCTTTAGATTTCATCACACAAGAATGGCCCAAGACTCAGAGTTGCACTGACGTGGTTATACGGTAAGTCGGTAAACGGTCGGTAATTTTCCGTCGCCTGTTTTGTAGACGTATACAAAATTCACTCGATTTTCAATCGATTTAGTGCGACACCACAAGTAGTCCCTCTTTGAGTATTTAGCGGTGGATAATGTACAACCGGTGCTTTCGGATCTTGAATCTGGTCGTGTACAACTACGAATGGCTTAACAGCGGCCTCCTTGCACAACGTCCTATATGGTGTCCTAACCCATCGTTTGGCAAGAACTACGAAGATTTATAAACAATGACATTTTTCATTTAACAGACTCGCAAAGCTGTGTAAGCCTTAGAAACGTATTGTTTTAAAAATTGCATCGTCTTCGAAATCATGGTGTCAAGAGATTTGTTTAAAGAAAACATCGGCCAAGGCCGATGGGAAAATGATACCACCCATTAGCAAAGAGCTCAGCAACGACAGAGCAGATAAGCGGTCAGAAAATACACCCAGGAATTCCACGGCCTTACCCAAGGGTGCGAGAGCACACGCCCCGTTGTGGAGAACCGTAGGTAACGGTTCCCCTCGCACGCACGAGATGCGACGCAGACTGCACAGGCTGTGGTACGTCATGTTGTCGTTGCCGCAGACCGGTTCAAAAACATCCGGACAACGTTCTCCACAACCTAGAATAAATGAGGCCAACATTTGTGTTTTTGCCGTTTATAATTGTCGAGTTAAATTAAATATTTTCCAACTAGCTAAAATGACCACAGACTAAGAAACAGATGTCCTATATACCCATACCCGAAATTTATTTCTGGTCCTCAAGGAAGGTTATAAACTTATGTACCGAAATGATCAACGATGTGCAAGTATTGCGAGGAACTTAAAAAGGCAAAGCGAAACTTAGTGGAGTAGCCAGGAGAGTAGGTGTGGGAAACACGTCCCTCATGCATATTAAATCATCATCCCAACGGAAATTTGGAAAAACTAAGAAAACTTACATTTCGCCCCTCCCCTGGCATCTAGGGAGCCACCCTCCCCCGCCCCTCTGCAACACACCCATGCTTGTCCTCCCTACCTGATGTGGACAATCCTTCTGTTGAACCGTGGAAAAGAAATCTCGAAGCAAATACTGATTTTCTCCGCAAACTCTTTCCAGCTTGATTTTTATGATGATTTCCTGAAAAATTGTTCCTCTTCATTTTACGACACATAACTCTGACCCCAAATCCATTTCAAACCAATGTCAGAGAAGGGAAAGGTGTGGACGTGCTTCAGTCCACGCATATTAACGTCTTCCGACAGGTGGAATTTTTTTATTCTAGTACATAAAATCAACTCACACACTCACCAGCCTCCTATGGATGAAAATCGTTTCTACGCTGCAAGTGAAAGTCAACATTTTTCGTTTTCTTCCCCTTTTTATAACTCAAGGATGACTTGCTTTTCACCGATCACTCATATCGCTACGCTCTTCACAAAAGTATCGTGAAATATGTTACCAGCAACGGTGTCGTCCATACATTCACCCATGTGGGTGACGGTCAGCGATTCACCGGGGGCACTGCACGCCACGATCCGAAGGTGGCACCAAGACGAGTACGTCGTGCCGTCGGAGCCGCACACGGGCAAGTAAAGCATGGAGCACTCGGCCTCGCTGGGACAGTAGGAGAGGCGCTCCCGGACGGGCTGGCCAGCCGTGGTTGGCTTGGGTTCCAAGCGGGAGGGTAGGGTGGTCGGATCCCGGTTGGGTAGGGGAACGACAGCGTCTGCTTCGATGCAAGGCCCGTCGTAAAGGACCTGAGCAGTAATTTAAAGATCAAACCATGTGTTCTTATTCCTCCTGGATCAAACACATTTGGGTGTACAATCTGTCGGGGATATATACACGGGCAAGGGGCATCACAAGAAAATAAGATGCAGCGGAATAGCTGAATAAGCTCAATGGAACGTATCCACAGACTCCACATGGAAAGGGAGCACCTGGAGGGGGGTATGGCCACTCGGTTAGTGGAGGGTATGGCCACTCGGTTAGTGAGGGGACGCTTTAGTCGTAGAGTCAACTTGTATAGAGACCCTCGTGTTTTGCGTTGGCTCCGTAATCGTTGTTTTTACCTTGTATTTATATTATCTAACAGTATTTCGAGACCAGACCAATTTGGAAATACATGAAGCATTACCCTCCGCTTGTTTGCTTTTCGACTAATTACATTCATGACATGCTGACAACGAGAGAAGTTTGAGAGCGTTTCGGCTCTTAGCGGTACTCAAAATTCCCCAAAAGGAGTGTGTTTAGAGCCGTGCACTCAGAGATACGGCCACATGTGTTAGCATGTTCCAAAGTGTTTTCACAAGTGGAAAACCACGTTCTTGCTCTGGACTCGAAATACGAACCCACCTATAACTAGGAGAGCTGTATACGCGGCTCTAGAAGCGCCAAACGCAGACTTTGTAACCAAACTGGTACAGAAAGCTGATGGCAAGTTCGATCAAGGATCGTAACAGCATAGATCGAACGCTTGCCAGTAGTCGATAGTCTAGTCAACTATTCGCGACCAGCCTACTGAGGTTGGTCGCGTCGTTGGTTGCCACAGACCATTTTTAATAGCATAGTGTAGAGAGGACCAGTTAAAAGAAGAACGCCGGAAAAGCAGTATGTCTATTAAAAAATGATGTAAACGATCATTTTTACTGTAAGTTTGCTATTTCGTCCACACGGCCACTTTTTCTCCCCTTCGGCGTAACGACCTGACAACGTTGACTAAAGGTCGTTCGCACTTCAACTCCACTGCACACGAGCTAGGTACGTCACAAATCTACCACTAGTTAACTGGCGGCCTTGATCGAACCATAGAGCATCGAACTTGCCTTGATATTGTGTGCTTATTGTCCATGTGCGCTTACACGTTATCCACCATTTTAGTTTGAAGAACTGAGACACAAGTTGCAACTCTCTGTGTGCAAGCCAGTAAATAGGCCAAAAACTGCTCACGCCGGCTGACTCAATTTGTATGCACTCGGATTCTCTACAAAAGTACATTATATGGCCCATGAACATAAAAATTTGTAAGCAAGACAGGTTTAGGCGACAAAAATGAATGCCAGCTTGTGTCTGAGTAAGATTTTGAAGAAATTGGTGCCTGAAAACCGTCTGTTTATTGAGAAGTGTAGGCAACGGTTTCTCAAAATGGCGAGGGGCTTCCCAACTGCTTTTTACTTTAGGGGCGACCTTCTGAAAAAAAGTTTCAAAAGTTATCAGTTAATGAATGGATATTCGAAAAGAAAATGAAAAATCATTACATGAGCTTAATTTGATGTGTCTCTGAGAAAATGATAAGTATTTTTCTGTTTTTTTTTATGAAGTTCAGGTATTTATCACTATTGCGCGCCTATGGCAGCTTAAGCAGCGGTAGTAACTAACAACAAACAGCGCCCTCGTGTTTAGGAATTTATAGCAAGGGTGTTGTACAACAGCGAAAAAGCTAAGGAAAAAAAGGAAGCAGGTGTAATTATTATTTTCATAAAATATGTTTCAGTGAAGAATGTGCCTTATGGTATTCCTCATGAGAAACAGGGAATCACGTATTAATTGTTATTGAGCATCGGCTTCCATTGGCCCGCAGCAATGGGAAAATCGGCAATGCGCCATAACCCTACAAGTACGCTTTGCCTACCATGAGAGATCGGTCACCCGTCTGGCAAGCGTGAGCCTCCAGGAGGCAGCGGCTCCCGTAAGTCTCACCGTCCGTACCACACACCGGGTTGGTGTTGTCCAGAGGGCAGGAGGGGGCACATGTCGGGGGTACAGTTGTGGGATCCGTCTGGGCGGGGATTGTCCTACCAGTGGTACGGTCCGTCTGGGTGGGCTCGGGCTGCATTGGGAAAACTGAAGAACCATGGAAATTTCTCAGGAAAAAATCAACTGGCTTTATTATAGCATCAATACAACAAAATTTTGCATGAATATTACATAAAAACTACCTTAAAATCCTCCTTTTCCTTCTTACCACGAAAAAAGTGTGCCAGGTATTCTAAACACCCATCTCTAGCTGTCCAAAAGTTTGGGAACACATACCCCCCCCGTGATTTACACCCGATAGGTATGACCTACACATAACAAGACACCAAAACCATGAACCAAGTGTTGAAAGAAATTCAACGATGAAATTATTTATTCAATGATATAAACTTCTGGTATCCCGCTACCCTAAGCCGTGCTATTTTTTTTTACATGCGACACTCAGTGAAATGTTTTTCAGGGAGAAACAAATCATCTTTGTGTCGGTCTTTTTGCGGAAGTTAACAAAGTACAGTCGATGTGTTGTCACGCGGATGACACAAAGATCTCATGTGTTTCATGTGTTCTGCTTCCATAGAAATTGGTACCCTGATTCTGTGGGTATTTCCACACATCAAACTGCTTAACTCTTCCCAGTCTTACCTGTGGCTGAGGGAGCTGTTGTTACCGGAGGTGATGATGTCATCGCTGAAGAAACAGTGGAGGGTACGGTGGCAGGCTTGGATGGTCCACCTAAAAGAAATCGCGGAAGCCTAAACAGTGACTACAAGAAAAAATATATACTTTAAACTGCCTCTACATCTTTTTATATATACGACAATCGGTTTTAAAGACGCAAACTGTTTTTATTATTATTTTGTAGTTTGAAACCCACTATGACCCTTTGCACCGCTGACACTTCTGCACACTTACTAAACGTAACAATCTCAAAAACCTAACCTCCGTTTTCTCCACCTTCCTCCTGTGACTCATCCTCCTCGCTGGAATCGTCATCTTCATTCGAGTCATCTCCTCTCCCCTCATCTTCTTCCCCATCCTTATCCTCCCCCTCATCCTCCTCTTCCTCACCAACCGGCAGTGCTCCAGCTGGGCGATCACTACCTGGTGAAGCGGTACCCTGGCCTGTGTTTGTCACTGAATCTGTAGAACATAATAATGAGGCAATGAAACGAGTGTCGCCAGGATTTCAACTCGGGTACAGTCGCAGCTACAGTCACTGGATACATCAAAACGGGAGTGTGTGTGTGTGTTGGGGGGGGGCAACTATAATCACCCGACGCCTGTTCAAAAAACGTCCACTTAAGCATGGAAACTAAAGCTGCATTTTGGATACATATTGACACTTTCTATTTTTTTCTCATATTAGACTTTAAATATAGTTACTGACCTGACACAGGTTTCGCAATAGTTTTGCGAAATAACGCAATACTATTGCGAAATAACTCCGATTAGCTTGTGGTGATTACTGTTGTTTCACTGATTGTGTAGGCCGGCATGGGTAATAATCTTAAGGAACATGAGGTTTATAACCCTCGAAAATTTTTACATCTCTTGGTTTAAGGTATTTTGACATTTTATGGCTTTTAGCTGAGAATCACGTTTTTATTGTAAGTTTAGGAACATTACAGCGACGTTTGTCGCAATATGGACTATTTTGAAGAAGACATAAGTCGTCCATACTTGATGTTGCTCCTTTTTTTACTGGAGCAAACACAAGAGTCTGGATTTCAAAATGCATACCAATGGTGCATCAAAAGTGCTTATTGGCAGGATTCACCATTTCAAGATCAGATGTTGCCTTGCTGCTCTCGGTTTTGGACGGCTACAACAGGGGGCGCTTTCTTCGTGTATGAGCATTTGTGACCCACTCTGTGAAAATGAGTCACAAGTCGGCAGAGCCACAATGGAGTAAAAGTCCTTTAGAATACTTTTGCACAGTGTAAATCAAGGAACCCACAGCATTTTTTACCATGGAGTATCCACTTCCATCAAGATGCCAAATTGAGTGATACATCAAAACAAAAAGCTCAATTTACTGTTTTCAGTAAATTTTCACAGAGCATTTCACATAACTATTTCGTTATTTCGCAATAAAAAAGTGCTTTAAAAACCTGGCACGATTGGGCTTCCGTAGCAGTCTGAAGCTTGCCCTTTATGCTTTGAACCTGAAACCTTAAATGGGTAAAATGTCAAATAGTAACGCAAGCCAACATACAAACTCGGGGAAAATCATAATACTGGTTAAGTGCGCTGCCAGAAAGATAATACGGTGGATTTTTAGACGAAAAATTCTAAAAGGTTCTGAAATATTCTGACAAAAGTTGCGGTAAATGATTAGGTGAATCCCTTTCCATGAAAAGGAAGCAGGCCCTTCAACAATGGGGTTGTCAAATGCACCTTACTCTAGGCCAAGGCCTAGGCCTGTAGGCCTACAATTCATTTCCACGCCGTAGCTTACATTATACGTGCGGTCTAGTATTAGTCAACCTGCCTGTCTTGTTCCGGATGTTGTAGTATGCGTCATCCTGACATGCTCCAGCATGCACCAGGCTGGGCCAGGGGGTTTCACCTCGGCCCAGAGGACGTGCATGCTGCTGTCTGCATGCCGCGTACAGCAGGAGGCAGCGGCTTGGGTAAGTATGGCCGTCCGTACCGCACACCTCCCCCGCCATCGTACCGTACAAGTTCCGCCGGCATCGACGCAGGCCCTGCTTGCACGTAAGGCGACGTTGACTGGCAGGGCCTATGTCCTCTGCGGATTTAAAAGTACACGAATCAACGTTTACATGCTTCATCCATGCTTAGAAATCATAAAGGGACATGTATACATGCTAGACGTTGATTATAAATATGCTAATAATAATAAGGGTGGGATACCGCCTATTGAAGCCCAAACACTTTGGAAAGAGTACCAGCACATTCCTGGCTGTTAGGAAGATTGTGTTAAGATTCTGTTGAAAAGGAACAACCGTTTCACTACCTGATCGTTGAATAAAAAAAAAAAAAAAAAATTAAATTAAATTTATTTAATTATAATACAGGGTAAATAGGCTAGGCTCTGCTACTAGTACTGAATGGGTTCCACAGCAGAACTGAATTCTTTACCGATGGCAGCGCCCTAAACCTACCATCATCGGCTCGCACACAGGTGCTACAAATTATAACCAGACCGATTCCGAGCAGTGGAAACGGAATGATCCTCCCGAGGATTAGAAGTAGCCTCATTGTTCTCTCAGAGAACGTGCAGCTGGAGGGACAAAGAACATTACCATTAGTTTTCTTCATGCTGGACATTATTAAGGGGGGGCCACAAGCATCTGATGGGGGAACCAGCTTTCAGTGGTCTTTTTTTGGGGGGGGGCGAGCTTTTGTTAACCTTGTTCAATATACATTCATCCTTTTTTTTTTATAGTGGGGCACCTGGGGGGGGGCACCGGGAATTCGTGTGTTCGGTGGGGGGGGGGCGTGCCCCAAGTCCCCCGTGGCTACGACCCTGCGTAACACTTTATAAAGTCACTTGATAACCACCTAAAATATGTCGCAATGTGAAAGGTGGTACATAATGGAGTGCAATGTCGCCTCATGAATAGTGATGTATCCGTGTTTTTCGGGGGTTGAATGGGAGTTTGTCAAAAAACGACCATCCATTTTTCCCCGTAGAATTCCCACTCCCCACCAACGAAAGGGTGTCGTACTATTGTCACCAGAGAAGGTTGCTTGCCTCACGCATCCCCTCTACTGGATACGCCACTGGTATGGAAGTCCATATCTGCCGTCGCCCGTCGTGCGTCGTCCGTCGTGCGTCG